TTTTATGTGCTTAAAAATAAATCCTTGGTTTATAGAGAAAAAAACGAGGGTTAGAATATACGACTTAATATGAAATGGGAAAAAATAAATTATCTTATTGGCTAAACCGAATTTGGTGGTGGACAAACTGGAAAAAACACATGTTTTTATATGTAATATAAAAGTAAAGCCGCACATTTTTTATCAAACGCCTTATTTCGTCTAGTTGGTTCTCCCTTATTTCCTTTAAACTTTTTGAAATCACGTCCTTAGAGGATCTTTACATCAAATATAAAACTCGAAGGAAAACCTATTTCACACCCAAAAAAATACAATTATTGTGCACTGATTCTACTACAGCTAAATAACATTATTATTTAGGTTTTTAAGTTCAATATTCAATATAATACTTCCTTGGTCATTTTTTTATTTGAAGAACTACAAGGTCTGTTAAATTAGAGAAAAGTAACTCACAAGCATATTAAAATGTAATTATAAATTGAAAAAAAGTCAGCCGTGCTCTGATTGGTTTATTAAATTCTATAGAGATCATTTTCTATAGAAAGTAAGGTTATTTTTTGACCCCCTCATATTTCTTGTTGACGAAGTGGCATTACCGTTGTCGCGACACACCTCTATTGATGTTTTGGGAGAGAAAACAACTTTACTTTCGATCAATCAAAATTTCCGCACTTCATATTATCACTCACCCATTTTGCTGCTAAATAAAAAGACTTCTTAGCTAGTGGGTTCTTGCCTTAAGTTTTTATATAGACCGCCATACCGTTTTTCCGCCTTTAATCTTGATTGAACTACCTTTTTAAACATGCCTCCATTTTAAGACTACCAAACTCATATCAATTTTAACCACAATTTTAACGCGACGCGTCGCGCTTATAATAAAAAAAACAAAAAATATACACATTCTTTATTACCTTCGGCATTAATATTATAAGTTTTCGTCGAAATTTGTTTTTTATCTCGTGCTCTCGACTTTGTGAATTTAAATTCACCGAGAACATTTTTCAATTATCTTGAACAAAAAGATTTCAGATATTATAATTATTTTTAATTAAAACGCACATTATAACATATTATAGATTTAATGAATGTCTTTTCTTCTTATTTAAGATAAGAATTTTTTAATTATAGGCCGCAAAATATAAAACATTTAAATTCAAAGAATGTAAAAAAAAGCGGCGCATAGAATTTAAATGGTTTACTTTTAATTGTCATAAAGGGACGCTTCTTCATTATAATTCTGCTCTTAGTGTCAATTTTCGACAATGGAATATGAAAACATTTTAAAACGTGTCAAATACAGCGGAACATAAAATTTATTTAAATTTATTGCTTGGGTCTTCTTCACTTTTGTTTTGTCTCTCAAAAACAATCGAAAATCGCACTTAATAATGCCTTGGTTTGATAAAACATCTTTTTTATCAGAGATGTTTCTGAATAATCAGGAGGTGTTATGACATGTTGGTTCTTTAATATACTATTTTATTTGCAAGATTTGTCATACAATTTTCATACGAAATTATTCTTATTATTATGGAAGCCTTTGGCGAATCTTCACACACTCCCTGGTCATATTTTACCATTCATTTTAAAAAATCAATCCTAGTCACACGCGAAAATATTAATTTCCCATTTTATGCTTTAACTGAAATATGACTGTATTACGAAATCAAAAATTATTAAGGGTGTGGCCTGGCTGTAATATATCAAAAAGTTCACAATGGTAAACAATTGTTTTATAATCAAACTAATGGGTGTTAGGAGGGGGGTGGATTTTTGTCTGCCAGTTTAAAAGTTGACTATTTAGTGACAGTGTAGAACGTGTTACTGAAAGCGGACGCTTACAAGCTAATGGTCTAACTTCAGTACTGTAACGCGAAACTTTCGGCATTAATCTATTACAGAAGTGAGTTCAGGTCTTAATGGAACATGTGCCATGTTAGTTCTTTTATCCACGTATGCGTGACGCACTATATAAGAATACGAGGAATCGTTATCTAATATTAAATCTGCTTAAGATATATTGAGGGTGTGCTTTTAAGGAATTAAAAGCATGGCGATAATTTAGTTGTAGGAAAACAAGGAATAAAACGTTGAGACTTGTGTAATTTATAGTAAATTTGCCGGCTGGTGTAGGGGAACAAGTGCATTAAGGGTAATAAAACGTAATATATTTTTGTGGTTTAAAGTACAGAAAGTGAGGAAGTAAAACATTGCGTTGCAGGGTAAATTCCTCTGGAGGCAACATTGAATTTTGTGTTAAACAGTATGTACATGGACGTTCATGCCAGGTTTACACCGTGTTAATTTTGAACACCAAAATATACCGCACAATTACAAGAAACCTACCGGCATGCTTAATGTATGTCTATGCTCGTTATTTATGATATCATAATAAATTATACAGACACATACATACATGTATACTATCGCGAAACTAAACTTTCAATGCAAATATCAAATTTAATCCAGGTAAATATTGATTTTCCACTTATAATATATTCACTTGCCATGACCCTTGTACGAGTAATATTACTTTGCCAAATAAAGCTTTACGTTAATATTCCCAAACTATACTTATCAAACAAATCAAAGAAACTCCATTTCCTATACTTACCCAAACCCATTTAACATTATTAGGTATTTTTTAAATTAACATATACCACATAAAGCACATGTAGGCTATGTGCAAAAAATTATCTATGAAAACCTGCCACCTATCTGCCTCGACATCAGCGATTTTGGAACACTGTACTCCAATATATATCAAATTATACATTAAAAAAAAACAATAACTATTTTAAATCACATTTTTATTAAAGGCCAACTTTTTTTCTTATAAAGAAACATTTTTATATAATTTTTTAAGTAGTATCAAGATTACAGTATCAAAAATCGATTCCCACATAGCCTACTCTCTAAAATTAAATTAATCAAAAATGACTAATTATTAGTGGCTGCTTTTTTACTTTTGACGTGGTTAACCATGGAATACCATGGTATCAAAAAATTTAACATCCAATTCTTATGAAAAAGTGTCCCCTGAATCCGAAAATATCTTCAAAAATTAAAAAAGTAGAACAGTTTTTGGGATATAGTCAATTTTCCATTTAATATGGAATTGACTATATCTCAAAAACTGCTCCACTTTCATAATTTTTGACGGTATTTTCGGACTCAAGGGACAATTTTAACCATCGTACAAGTGAAAAAGCAGCCACTAATAATTATTAAATTAGTCATTTTTGAATAATTCATTTTTAGCGAGTAGAATGGAATAAAATGCACATGAAAAGCCATAGAAAAATGTATTCCTAGGTGAACTGAAAAGCAGCTGGAGGAATATAACAGAGGCAAGATATCTGCATTAGTAATTGATGAGTTTCCAAACTCTTATTTCTTATTAACGTTGCCAAGCCGTAGTATTTTTATATACTATCCAGAAGGCTCTTCGAAAAATTGAACTGATAACACTGTCTTTATTAAATAAGCTTTTACATTAATTAAGGATAACGAAATAATTATACAGAGTATTCTTCAAGATGTCTTAATTAAAAAGGGTTTCAAACAATTTATTTCATAAAAAATGCTTTATATAAAAGTAAAACTTGGAACACCCTGTGTAGGTCGTTTGCATTTGTGGACTATTTGATATGTTCTTTTTTCGTGGGACTAAAGATGGCAACAGTGTTTCTAATGTAGCCCTTATTTGTATTCTATCATTCGCGGGGATTGGCTGGTTCAACTCTTCTTGAAATCTCATCGAAAATGAATCAATCTGGCTTGGAAAAGTACGGGAGAATCTAAAAACTTAAGATGAAGGGGCCTATGAAATGTCTTTTTCTTATCTCCTCTGTCTTCCATGGAATTGCATAATTTTTTTCTTTTATTTTCTCACTTTGCCCGTTTCATCGTCATCAGAAATGCACAAGATGTTTTTTTTTGTTTCAATCTTTCGCCCGGTCTAATTTAATCACTGATTGCTTATAAAAAAATAAATTAGTCCTTTGCTTAAATTAAAAGTGTACCCAGTGTTTCGCTCGTCCAGACTGGTGTTTTTAATCAAAGAAACTAAGGGAAATCAAGCAAGCTTTTTATGATTCATTTTATGTCCTTAACGACAATTGTAGCAATATTTATTAAAAATTAACTTTTCCCATTTTTCTTTTTTGCTTACTCAATTAAAACACCCTTAAAATTTATTAAACAAACCCTTTTTTACCAATATGCACACTAATTTAATTTAATCCGAAATCAACAAAAAAACACTCATCAAAATTTGTATTCATATATATTTTTTTTCTTAAGTTTTCTGTAATAAATGTTTTTTTCTACGACCACTGCGTAAAAGTCACATTTCGTAATGAAACCGTTGCTTAGAAAATGAATCTTTTCATTGGCAAGGCAAAACCCAAATGTAAAGTGACATTCCTTTATAAAAAGTGACAGGTCTGTGTGAAAAGAAATTGACAACATCGTTTGACATTCGTTTCAAAATTTGTATTGTATTTGGATATGTATGTCTAAATATCATTTAGAACATAATTAATTGTGTTTGTATAATAAATTCCAATTTTAGGGCCTTTATTTAAATTGAAAAGGTAAGTTTATTAATTTTAAGTAACTTTTAAGATGAAAGTAATTTTAACAGCTGTCAAACACGTTTATAGGTTATATTGTTTTGTATATGAATATAATAAAAAATAAAACGGTCGTATATAAAACATTGTGTTTCACTTGTGAGAAAAGCTTTCTTCATGCTCGTGTTAATGCACACTCGGCCTGACGGCCTCGTGAGCAACTTAAACACTAGCATGAAAAAGTCGCTTTTCTAAGAAAAAAAAGTTCATATTAACTGTCAACGCTAAGACGCTGTTGCTAACTTCAACTTGTGACTAAAAGGCCAAAAATTCACAGCTTTCAAATGTGAAAATAGATAGAAGTTATTTTATTTTGTGATGTAAAATCGATAAAATTAATCATTGGAATTTTATTTTCAGGCACGGAAAACCATTTGGGAATGGTACACATGATGGGTACGTTATTTAAAATTTATTTACCTGAAATATCCATATCTAAAAACATCTTTCTTTTGTTTTGCTTTTGCATTAAATATTTATTAAAGAACATGCTCTAGACGTATTGCAAAAAAGTATATTGTCTTTAATAATATATGAGCCTTTTTTAGCACAAATAAAATGTTAGTGGCAATTTGTAAGACGTACGGGCAAAAATAAATGGATAACTCATCCTGAAAAATGTTCATAAATGATAGAACGCCCTTAAAGACAATAACAAACTATTGTTAGACCAAAAGGTTCGCCGGCAAAATCATGATCAATGGGGTCAATCTGTTAAGACGGACATAAATTAGTAAGAATAGGAACAGGTTTCAGTAAAACGGTTTGCTTTAACTCTGTGTCAGCGCACGTCATTAACAATGCTAGGTAGAAACTGTCAGTGTATATAAAGGTCCAATATCCCACATGACCCAACGAACAAAGGGCATATTATTTTACCTCTCAAAAAAACAAATATGTATTAAAAATACAGTGGATTTTTTGTTGCAAAAATGGTGAATGTCTCGGGATTAATAAAACACTTTTAAAACCATATTTTAAAATGTTAAACTTATTATTATTAATTTAAAACTAAAATACGAATGTCTAAATAAATAATTAAAAATACTACATTTTTAAGTTAAATTAAATTATGCTTAATACTTCGTTAGTGAGTTAATGGTTTTATCCAGATTATGATACTTAAGCTTAGTTTTGACGCAAAACTGAACGAGAAAAAACGTCGAAAAACTAATTAAGATAATCTTTATTTAAAGTGTAATTATGAAGTTTAAGTTAAGGTCTTGGACTTGGGGGTTAAATGAATGTTGAAACAGTGCATTTGAGATGTGGAGTAGAGCAGAGACCGGGAGAACATAGTAGTTTTAGAAGTGATAAGACCGCCACTCTATCATTAATTATTGAAGGGTGTGATCTGTCGAGCGCAGAGAAACTTTATCGATTGAAAAATGCAATCTCTTCTGGATTGGGTATCAAGTTTGTTTTTAAATTATGTGACAAGAAACTCAAATTTCCCCAGCCCATAATGACCTTTTTTTCTCGTAATAAAATGTTAAAATGTGCCAAGTCTTTGGGTCTGTGTGTACAATGGAAATAATAAAGCCGCTTTATTGCTATCATTAGATTTAAAGCCGATACGTAATTTGGAGGCGAATAAAAACTTCATGTAATGTAGAACAGTGAAAAGAAGTCGAATTGTAATATTTTGGAGTTTAATGGGCGACCAACACGCGACTATATCAATCAAACACAATGTTTATGTATTCAGAATTTTATTTGTGAAATTTAATTAATTAATTTTCGCCTTTAAAGCACGTTGTATTAAGGAGTTTAATATTTTATCGATTATATTGGTTTAAAAGAAAAAAATGAAATATATGGCCGCAGGTGGCATTTTTAAGATATGCACGGAAACTCAAGATACATTTTTCAAAAAGAACTTTGTTGAACAAATCTAAAACTCAACTTTGCATTATAAATAAGGTTCTCGAAAATACTGCACCAATAAATGAAATGTTATTAATTTTCTTTAAACAACTTCTAAACTTTTTTATTTAAATCTTTTTCATATAGGCCCCAGTGATTTTTAAAGTGTTACATGATTAATTGAGATTTCAAAACATGTATAAAATTGACAACTTTGAATAGGTATAACCATATTAATGTATTTTTAAGTTACATATAACTGTAAAAAATAATCTCTTAAAAGAAAATATTTGCGCTTTTGAATATGGCCAAGAGCTATGTTTCTTAATCCAAATCTGAAACTATTAATTTTTTTTTTAATTACTTGAGGAAAGAGATTAATCTATTCGTTTAAGGATATTACAATATTACCTTAAATCAAGAACAAGCGATTTCTTGGTACAAGAACCAAAAATATTTCTTCGGAAGATATTTATCTTTTGAATGAAGAAAAGGTTTTTTAGCTCAATAAAATGTGATTTTACCAAGAAAACTGCATCTCTTAATTAAAAAGCTTGGGAACCTTCTACGAAAAAAAAATTGTCTTGCTGCAAAAGCATATACTATTGACCTAACCACATTTTATTTTAATTTTAGAGCAAATATCTCTTGGTCCAATAGTATGTATTGCTATATTCAAAAGCTTTTAATCTTTCCTGAAACTACCAGCGTTTGTTAGTATTTAAGCTTATATTCTCCTCACCACATAGGCCTTTTGATTTTAATTCTTGAAACATGCATTTAGGAAATTAAAATCAAGGACCTTCGTAGTGAGGGAAGTTTAAGTCTTAATATTGGCATCGTTGAAAACTAGAAGATTGACTAAAAAAGGTTTACAAAAAATATTTCAATAAAATAAGACATTTATTGTTTGATATCAACAAAAGCGCAAGTTTTTTTATACTAACACTAATAAAGTGATATGATTTAAAATTTATTACAATTTATTACATATTTTAATTAAATTTATTACATATTTTAATTAATACCTTATAAGGTATACCTGCAAATACATTAAACAAATTAATTCAAATTTCATTTATTTAAAAAGAGTTTTAATGATTCCAACTCCACTGTGAAAGTACATACAACACGCCATAACACAACACAACCGGCAAAATGTATATTAGAAACACCTATAATAGAATTATAATATTATCACTGCCCCTAGAAAATAACGAATTGCAAGTTGCAATGATACAAAACGTACTAAACAGTGTGAGTGTTTTGCATACTCTCCCAAGTATCAGAAGCTACCAGATTTTGTTAGAAAATTGACATGCTATTGGGATTATTGTGATGTATCTTGAATGAATTGCGTAAATATAAATAATTTTCATAGCTTTTGAACAAAAATTCTTAGCACTTGGTTGAAAGAAAAAACTTTCAAGAGATTTTGTATTTGTTTTCAAAATAACTATACTTCTTCCACTAAGAACTTTTTTCTTCAAATTTAAAATACTCTTTTATGCTAAAATATTGTTTTTTGCCGCTAATAATTTTTTATCAAAAGAGTTGACTACTTTTGTTTAAGGGCACTTTTTTTTCAGTGCACGAGCAGAGCTTCTTTCTTTTGATAAAAATGAGTGTCTAGGAAATTTTATAAAATTTATATATAAATTAAACATTTGTATATAGCAACATCTATACAAAAAAAGAGTAACCAAAATTGGTCTTAGGAACCTCTTTTGTGTCAGTTTGTCAAATTTTTCTGTAAAAATATTTTAATCAACTATTTTTAAAGTATTGTATTATGATTTTGGTTTACCAACGGTTTTAGTTTAATAAACAGGGTATTTAACGCTGTGATTTTTCCACTTGACTAGCGTTTGTAATTAATCGGTATAAAATCAAGTTAAGATAATAATGAACTTTGATGAAATAGTTATTTGGGTTGTTTAATAAATGAGTAAAATTACCATTTATATTAGGTAATAGAATTTTAATCCAAAATTACTTTATAGTTGGGTAGGCAATTATTAAGCCCCCATGTCTTATTTAAAAGTCCTTTATCCATTCTGTTCTAATGTTATACACATGAAGTAATTAAGTAAAGGTATGAACCAACCACTATCTAATTAATTCGCTAAAATGAATGGGACATTATTGAAAACTTCACTTAAACAATGCCATTGTACAATAAGAAAACCTAATGACGTCGTGTCTGCTAATTACTGATATATTACGAAACCTGCTAAATTATTATTGGTATTAATATTATTGCTTCCTCAATAACTCGAAATTAGCTTCGAAATTGTAAAACTTAATTATGCACTCGCACAAGATTTATATTTCTCATATTGATTTTTAATCTTCATTTGTAACGCAGGAAGAAAATTTACGATTATTTCGTAATTCAATTTTCATGCCATTTCCCAGCGACATCGAAAATAATTATTACAGTTTTAACGAATTTCTTAACTCCGCTGCTGATTTCGAATATATATATGTATGTATATACAGTCGCTTTAATCCTTGTTTTAAATATCGCCCAGGATTAAAGTAGCAATAGTAAAGTTTAAAGGTTATTATGTTAAGTAAATAATTTACTGGAAACATCAAGGATGTAGCAGATGCAGCAAAAATATGAGATGTGTAATACATGTAATATCGCCAAGAATTATAAGCAACTTTCTGACAGTGTGACAAAAATAATGCCAAAAAACGAAACTGATTTATAAGTAAAACATGCTAAGAAACTCTAATTTTCTCGACTAATTTAACATTTAATGTCAAAGACACAAGGCGGCTCTGCCACAAATTTAAACTTTATTTTTATTAATATAACTAATCATAATATTTTTTTTAATCCATACAGTTCGCAGTAAATTAAATTTTTTGCACAAATAATAAAAATGACAAAACAGACTTAGATTTATTTTCTTGTAGTTAATAATAAATTACAATAGGTAACCCTCTTTTATTATTTGGTTTATTGCAGTAATAAACAACACAATTTATTTTTCATTTGTTTAATGTTGATCACCCAGATCAAAGAACGATATTTTATGTACGATCATGTAAAAAAGTATCTTCTGTAAATTTCTTTTGGACTTGATAAATACAAATTTGATTTTAGGGCGTTTGTTTTTGGTTTAGGAAATTTTGTGTGAAAGAGGAGAATGTTGTGAGCGGGGCCTGTGATAATTGATTAGTTCTAAAGTTTGGCGCCATTTATAAAACTTTAAAAAAGTTTTTTCAGTAAGTGTATAATTGTATGGCAACTTTTATGAATTATAGTGGTTTTGGGCCTAAATTTAGCATCCTATTGCCAGTGTCTACAAATCAATGGATTTAAAATAAATTAATTCCAATCTCCCAAGTTTCCGCCATCTGATATTGATTTTTTAGAGCCCACTTTTGCGTCTTTCGGTAACCCGAAAAGAAGTGCCCAAGTATTTTTGTTGAACATTGTTTTGTTGCTTTTTGAAATGCATTAACGTATATTAAATAAATAAAAATAATTGCTAAACCGTGAAAACGTTTTCATCAAATACATTATTTTATTATAAAAATTACAATATAAAGTAAATGTAATAAAAATGCATTTTAAAGTGCTTCAATAGCGGTAATAAAATATCCATTATTACACCAAATGAAAAGTGAAATAAAATGTTTTCTTTTAAACATTAGTTTTTGTGAACGACATTAAAAAGAAATCGTTTGATTAACTTAATTGAAAGTCAGTTTCGGGGTAAAATGTGATTTTTGGGTGTGAAAATTTGTATGCGCGTTGCAAATGTTTTTGTGTCATTTTGTGTACATAGGTTTGAGTTTTATCTCACTAAAGCAGTAATTGTCTTCTTTCTAAGTTTGAAATTTTCTCATCACTTTATTTTGCTGTTCAATCCACTCACTCTATCGTTTATCTCATCTTATCCTACTTCCTTTCCTTCTTAAAGTACCGACATTCGTTTATAAATGTCCTTAACCAAGGATTTCTTTTGATATATCTTGTCTATTTGTTTGCTTTAAAGTCCTTTAAGACAGCATTGATTTTGATTACTGAGATTTTTTCAATACCTACGTTCTTTATATATGTTAATGAAATGTCTTTCCAAAACAATTATTTATCATTCTAAAAAACAGTAAAAGAAAAGGATTTACTAAAATCGTGATAATTTTCAAATCCGACGTGATTTTTTGTATAGAGATAGTTTACTTTTTTGAATTTTTCTTCCTTATAAAAAGTTAAAATTTGCAGTGAAACAAACTTTATGAACAGTAAAACAGTTGATGGGAGGTTTAAGAAAAGATTTTACAACAAGAGGAATATTTTAGTACATCACATAACGTTTAGTGTTTAATATATGCTCTATCTAATCAATAATATATTTTGTTGCAGGTCTGCCCAACTATCCTGGTAAGTAAAACTTGTGTATTTACTTAAACTCAAAGGAGTCCTAATTTTAGTTTAGTTCGGAATTAGCCGACAAGAAAAACCACATACTATGCACAATTTAATTTAATAAGCAATGTTTAGCTTAAAAGGATTATATTTCGATATACTCATATTTATAATCTCTAAGTTTTAGTTTGCAAGCTAACATGAATTATGCCCACAAATTTTTTAATCTAATCAAAATATCAAAAATTTCTCAAAACCGTTTCTAGAATAGCAACCCTTTATTATATTTATTTATTATTTATATTATTTATTATATCGAAAATTAAATATATCTCAAAAACTGTTCTACTTTTATAACTTTTGAAGAAATTTTTGGATTCAGCAGACAATTTTACAAAGGAATTGACTGCTAAATGTTGCTGTTGACGAGAATTATAAGTGGCTGCTTTTTCGCTATGACAATTAGTCATTTGCTTCATTCTTATTTTTTAATTTTGATAAAAAAAGTTACTTAAAATATTTGTTTATCTATTTGTTACACAATGTTAAAAAAGGAGTAAACCTAAAACTCAACCTGTATAAAAACGAATGCTTCTTTGTTTTTCCGTTCAGCCGGTAAATACTTAAAAAAATGGCGAATGCGCCGGGATCAATTACAACTAAATTTTGGAGGATGTAATTTCCAAGCGGTTATAGGAATTATAGGAATGCACTGTCAACATTTCCAGTGATTTGCTTTGGGCGTTCATAAATAAATCAATTATATATGGGGCATTTCATGTCAAATGTATCGGCCTGATATTTTTTCCTACTTTCGCATTTAAAAATAAATTATGCGATTTAAAAAAAAAAGTATACCAGTAAAAAGAAAGATGATTTTTAAACTGTAAAAATTAATTGAATTAAAAACATTTTTACAATAAATAATTATGTTAAAGTTAATGGGAAAAAATGTGTTTTATTTTAAGGTCCCTGTACATTTCCATTTTGTTTGATATTGTCATGTTTCCTTCAACGTTGCCTATTCAGGTAGTTTTCCATTTCCTTTTAAAATGTGTTTTTTTCGGCCGTACGATATAAATTCGCTGTGACATGGCGTTCCATATAGTTTAAAGTTATTTTTCTATATTTCTTGCCGGTTTTTTGTTGGCATTACATAGCTCGTTACAAGCGAAATTAAGGAAAACGTTGAAAGAAAAGAAAGAAATATTACACACAAAATAATACTTGAGGGGATTATTTTAAGTTGGAGGCAGGTTTTTTAAGAGAAAAACAACGTGGCCTTAATATAAAGCAGGTTCGAGCGTAAAAGTAAATTGGATGGACCCAAAATGGGTTTTATTGTTTATAGCAGTAAAATGGTGATATACCTTCTAGTATTCTTATTTTTAATACCTCGATTCATGCAAAAATATCCAATAATCGATATTGTTAAATCGAGCTGACATCTTTTATATTAGTACAGATGGTATGTTATGCGGGTTATAGAAAGTTTCAAGTATTTCTTTATTCAAATAAAGAGTTATTCAACTTAAAAATCCACATAGTATTCATGTTACAATTTTAGCTTAAATGTTATAGTAGTTAGAAAAGGCTAGCACTGGATTTTTTTTTGGTAAACGTAAATATTGCGAACAATGCGTTACGTGCAAGTTACGACGCGTCGCGATGTGAGGAAATTGCTATAATGAGATGCTGTTAAGAATGGGAATAATGAATTTTAATGTGTGATACGAAGTTCAGTATTACATGAAGTTTCATATATTTCGGTTTTCATTTTAGCATCTATCAAAGGAGACAACTACGAATTTCCAAGGAGCAAAGGCAAAGGGAACGCGATTTTCAGATTTGTTACGTATATTTTAACAAAATACACAAAATAAGAGCAGGGAGTACGCAATTATTCTTATATATGATACGGAAAGCAACGTCCTTAAATATTAATAATCGTACCTACGTTAAATTGGTTATATTACCTTTGAGAAACGGATTTTATATTTCATTTTTCTCCACGAAAAGAAATTTCTCTAATCCAAGATTTATGTAAATGTAACAATAAAAAGCAGAAAAAAGTTCGGGAAATGTAATTAATTGTTTTTCCCCAAAAAAAAATTAATTACCTCTGGCGACGTTCAGTAAACTTTTTCTTAAATTTCTTCTTCTACATTAAAAGATTACATTTTACCTACCGATTTGAGAGCCTGTAAAGGACAGCAGCAGACATCTAGTACAGAAACTGGTTGAAAAGTAGATTAGATTGAGAGTAAACTTTATTCAACATTGAGCGTTATTTCAATAAAATTTAAATTGACTCACATTTCAATATTTAATTAGACCACTCGATTTGGAAGCTCGAGCACTTGTCTAATTATTTCTAATGAACAACATATTTAACCTTTTATTTACCTTTAACAAGACAAAATTTAACCAATTTTATCTGTCTCTCTAATTAATTGCAATTTATTTCAAAACGCTCGTTTCATTACTTTCTATTGCATTTTCATGATTATTTATTTTATTCGGGACCAGAAATATACAAGGTGTCCCTAAACTTAGTAGCATAAATTTAGGAGCAGATTAAGCAAGTCAAACTAAGACGAAAATCTAAATAAATATCCTAATTACGTATGTTTAAAAGATACAGGGTGATAAAGTGTTACTTATAATATCAGTTTTTTTAATATAACTTCTACTATAGTAGACTTGGAAAGGTGATATTTTGCAAACAGTCACTTACTACCAAAACACATATTCACACATAATTACAATTGTTCGAGTGAACACAGTGTCGTAGAAACAGGGGTTGCTTAAGCTTATTGTCCCATACAAACTTTGAGGTTAGGTTTTTATACCATTTAATGCAATTGTTCCATTACTCAGTTTAGCTACTATTAAAAAGGTTTACCTCTCAAATTTTGATAAAATAAACCGTTTCCGAGATATTCGAGATTACAATAATTGTTATATCGCATTAAAGGACTAAAAGGTATATATGATACCAAATTTTTTAATTGAAAAAACTACATTTTTTTTAATGTGACGGTCAGGGCAAAAAGTCCCGAGGCTCATGTAATGCCCTTTTTAGTTTTTTTAATTAAAAAATAAAATTTGTTATCATATATGATATATACCTTTTAATCCTTTTAAATAATGCGATATAACAATTATTGTAATCTCGAATATCTTGGAAACGGTTTATTTATCGAAGTTTGAGAGGTATACCTTTTTAATGGTAGCCGAACTGAGTAATCGAAAAATTGCATTAAATGTTATAAAAACCTAACCTTAAAGTTTGTATGGGACAATAAGCTTACAGCAACCCCCGTTTCTACGATACTGTGTTCACTTAAACAATTGTAATTATGTGTGAATATGTGTTTTGGTAGTAATTGACTGTTTGCAAAATATCACCTTTCCAACACTACCTTAGTAGAAGTTATATTAAAAAAAACTGATATGATAAGTAACACTTTCTCACACTGTATCATAGAAACATAAGTAATTAGGAAAAATATTTATTTAGGTTTTCGTCTTATTTTGACTTGCTCAATCTTTTCCTAAATTTATGCCAATAAGTTTAGGGACACCTTGTATAATAGCTATATATTTAAAAATAGATTGAATTGAAGCTGTAATATTATAAATATTCAAGTTTTTTTCACTTATGACTGATGTTTAAAAGCTGAATAAATTTAATGTAACCTCACTAGCAAAGGTGTTTTTATGGGAGCGTTCTGAAGTGAGGCATTACGTCACATTCAGACCTATCTGCTAAGTTAGAAATGAATGTGAATTCTACACTATTCCCTAGCAAATTATAAAGATTTATAGACATGTAAGTTAGCAGGGCATAGAACTAAAATGGATATGCCCGGGACCTATAAATCCAACCCGAATTTACTACGCTGTGACATAGTTGTGCCTTTGACAATATTCTTCAAACGCAAAGGGTTGTTTAATAAAATTTGATACTTTATTTATCCCAAGTAAATTTACCAAATGCAAACAATATTTACGTTTTTACCTAAGGTGCTGATTACACAAAGTTTATAAAGGTTTAAGTATATTCATAATTAATATAAAATACAGTTTTATAATAATATAATAATAATTATTGTCTTTTTAATCATATAGAATAAAATAAATGGTATTAAGTTAAGTTTGACTGTATGTATTGGTATTCTTTAATCCTATCACTTGTATAGAGAAATTTATAGCGCAAATAAATATACTTTCGAAGTGTATAATGCATTTCTTTAGGTCCAAAGTTGAGAGCATTTAGAATTGATGTGAGATTCGTGTAAGAAAGAGGTGACAGTAGCAAATTTCCAGAAAATTTATCCCTCAGGTGGGTTTTCAATTATTTGGCCTTAGCATTGACAGGCGCCTTTTTCAACTAAGCCTAGATCTTATGCTTGTCATTCCAGCCCGCTCTCGCTCACTCTCTCTCCCCACTAACATTGTTTTTCTTTTCGCTTTTACAATTTTTCGTTTTTTTATTCAATTTATTTGTTTTATGGGATTAAAAATTTATTTTTTCATCTTCTACTCGTTTGAATCGTGTTAATAAATCCGATAAGATAACATGGAAACAATAGATTTTTCCATGTAGTTTTCTGCATTATATACCTCATTACTCCAATAAAGATAAGTGAAAGAGAGACGTAGAAGGGGAGAAGGCAAAGCTATCTTGATCCAGTTCACTGCTCAGCATTACCAGTCCAATTACTGACAAGCCAATTAGATTTAACTGTCTATACCTGTATTTCTCTATTCTGAACAAATTCACTTACACAACCAACTAAAATATTTACTGAATCTTTCCCTCCATTTACATTCGCTTGTTGTTTTTAATGAAACGATTCGCGTAGAAACAGCACTAGTCAATAATGCAACACAACTGCATAAATGTTATTTAATGCAAAATAAAAAGGCATTTAATATGCAAAAATGTAGAATTTTAGATGCTATCCATTATTTTATTTATATTATTTATTAAAAGCCTGCTTAATTTA